CATCTGCTTCCAGAAGGAAGTGCGTTGTGAAGTTAAATCGTTACTGTCCTCTTCAGTTGGCCACATGATGCTGAATTAGAAAACCTTATTGTGCACAGCCTGCAAGACTTGAGTTTTTGGTGAAATAGACAAACCCTAAGACCCAGGAGAATAACAAACCTCGATTGTCTTCTGAACTAACGAAACGTCCGAGTCTAATAATAGAACAACATTTTCGAGTCTGATAAAATTGCATAACCATCAGAGGCTGTTAGGGTCTGGAGTAATAGCGGAACTTTCAGACCTGGTGAAACAAGGATGTTTTTAGGCCTAGTTGACATAAACTCTATACTCTAGTGTCATTATCAACTCCGCCAATTTAACTTAACCCTGAAAGTGAGACGTTGAATATAGTAAATGTACCGAAAATTCAAAATGGAGTCTACAAGTATGGTGAAATAACCAAACCATCAAGTTTAGTGTATCCAAGCTTTCTCGAATACTACGTTGGCTGGCCAGTTAGGGATATCTGTGCGTTAATGAAGAAGCTTCTGGAATGTAACACTGTTGCAACCCTTCACTGGGATTTATTTTACTTGAACAGATAATGAACTTTAAACGATTACGTAAACTTCAGCTGTTTTCCGAGGTAAGTTTCCCGTGGAAGCCAACAGTTTATTCCAGGGTGCTTAAATGAAATACTTATATACAACAGACTTGTATGTATCGCAGGCGGTTATTCGTGTTCGTATTACTTGTAATTTGTTCCTCGTAAAATCAATTACCGCTGTTAAGCCTTACGCTCAGACATGGAAGTTATTATTATGTAGAAATACTAAGGTTTCGTTAAACTTGTATAGATTACCCCCAAACAATTCCCGTGTGTCATCTGAATAAATAAAATCATATGTAGTTTATTTTCTTACACTAAACTTTAACACAAACATTTTAAGTTCTGTGAGGGAATATATGTATTCAAATTGGCTTTTATATCACTCACAATTAGTGCTGCTATAGATCGTGTTTTTGATTTAGACGTTCATATTGTTGTTTGGCTAGAGGGAGGTTTGACGTCTCCAACGTTTTAGAGCAGTTGAGTAGTATATAACGAGAGTTAGAATAGAATAGATGATAACTGATTATTAAGTGAATCTGTTAATCATTTTAACGAGTAATCAGTGAATGAATCAGTTTGTCTGTTGTTGACAACCGGTCAGTTTGTTCAAATTTGGGAACACTGAGTTTCGAAAAAGTGTCCTGAGTATGACCAAATTGCAGATAAGTAATATTATTCTGTTAGCATCTATAGTAAACTTAGGCCTTTTAGAGAGCATTAGTTAAGCTAACAAAACAAGTTGTAGAGGCAATAAAACATTTTAGTTATAATTTAATGGAGTGACTTTGCACAGTTTTTTACTAAATTATTTTTGCTTCACCAATAAAGACTTTACTTCAAATCTACCATTATTTTATTCTGAATAAAAGGGCTATCTGCGCTAGCCATCCCTAATTTAGCAGTGTAAGACTAGAGGGAATGCAGCTAGTCATCACCACCCACCGCCAACTCTCGGGCTACTCTTTTACCAACAAATAGTGGGACTGACGGCACATTATAACGCCCCCACAGCTGAAAGGGCGAGCATGTTTTTGGGACGGGATTCGAACCCGCGACCCGCGGATTGCGAGTCGAGCGCCCTAACCACCTGGCCATGCCGGGCCGATAAGTTGAAGAAAAAAATAAGTTTTCCCTTGTCTCATCTATGTTAATCCCCAGATAAACTTTTAACAACGCAAGTTTACCTTTGATGAAAGTTTTTACTAAAAAAAAAAATACCGAACAGATAAAAACAAAAAACAAGAATGAAAAAATACCACCATACTTATAAAACAATCTAAATATGTATGTATTTATTCCTAACACTGAAAGAAAACATTTCTACAGAATTACATACTGATACTTGCAAACGTTTGTATGTTTAATATTGATTTCATTAAACTACAAAACAATGAGTTGAAATACAAAAGAACTCCTACTTGATACATTCAGCTGGAATTTTTTTCGATCCTGTGACAGAGATTGTACCAAATGCGTATTTAATTTTAATTTCACTGTCGCTTGAAAAGGAAATTATTTGAACTTTGTTTGCTGTCTTCTTACCATAGTAATTACTAGATTGAATGACAGTAAATATTAAACTCTCAAGACCGGTTAAGCTGTGAATTTTGAAATCCCTCAATCAACGTGATATGTAGTATGGTATTTTTTTTCCTGACCTGCTGGATATTGGCTTGGTCTTTTGTTATATCTACTAGGTTTTCATTTTCTGTATTTGTTTTCATTGTTCTCCGGCTGGCGTCGCAGAATATCCCTTTTAATCTTATTTTGGCACTCTTTCATCAGTTCCTTTTCATTTTTATTTCTTGCTCGCTTCTTCTGGTTACCTTCTTTGGGGTATTAACCGGGAAGGGTGTCGTGATTCCACCAATCGTGTTCAACTCTCTGTTATTTCCACCAACCATAATCAACTCCATCTAATGTTCAAATATTTTTCCAAGCTGATATAATCTATCACTTCATGTTGTAATTTAAAAAAAATATTCTACAGTTGCAAACTAACAAATGCAGGGAGAGGAAAAGGTCCAGGTGAACCTGACACTTCCAGGTCTACCATAAGGATCTAAGCAACGATGAATAATAATAAGAAGAAACTATCACATTTTTTTACGTTTTTTTAACGCTTTGGTTTTAAAAGTGGGGAATTACAAAATTCTGAAATAATTATTTTGAGTTTTAAGCATGGAAATCTTCAAAACAGCTTTTGTCTGTTTAAGTTAGGTGGCTCTATTTGATATCCTATTGTTAAAGATATGTTACTTATTTTCTTCCCTATTCATATCCTCCAATGTAGTTCAGCGGTAAGTCTGAAGGCGTATGACGCTAAAATCGAAATTTTGATGCTCGTTGTGGGCACAGCACAGATAGCCCATTTCGCAGCTTAGCGCTTAACAGCAAAACAAACAATCCTTACCCACAGTAATTAACTTAAAAGGGTAACAGAAGCAAGCTTTACTGTTAGATAGGTTACATTTGGAGTTTTTGCTTTCAGTTATAAACAAAAACCATATGAAACGTATACCAATAATCATGACTTTTTTATCTTTTTCTTCAAATTTCTAAGCTTTTTAACTTTGAAAATCTAAGGCACCTGTGTTATTTGTTCTGAGTTTCAGAGTTTTAAAAGCAAATCAGTTTTATACTTATTTTTTGTCTTTATTTCTTTGGAAACTTCCACGGCTAGCAGATATTTGAAAATAGAAATATAAATCCTAGACTTTCGGTTTAATGAAAGTCATACTTATCTTTTTTATAGAAGATGCGCTACAATAAGCTCGAAAATTCGATATCAAAAGTTCACACAAACAACGTCAATAAGTACAAACGCTGTGGAGTGGATATTAACCATGACTACGCGTATTAAAGCTCTCGTTGTCAAATAACGAATAAGCGTGACAAATTCTCTACCTGTGACAACAATTACGCATTTTAAAAAATCTCTGTCTAACACATCACGAACACGTGCACCATTTTTAATATATTTTTATTATAAAAGGACAAAGTTAACAACTCATTGCATTGTTTTGAGAATATTAGTTATAGAACATACATAATATTTCTAGATATAACAGTTTGTTACGGTCAGAACCTTTGTTTTATTTTACATACAACAGTTAGGTACGATTTAGACACTTTGTTTCCTTTTAGATATAACAGTTTGTTAAAGGTCAGACACTTTGTTTCATTTTAGATATAACAGTTTGTTAAAGGTCAGACACATTGTTTCATTTTAGATATAACAGTTTGTTACGGGTCAGACACTTTGTTTCATTTTAGATATAACAGTTTGTTACGGGTCAGACACTTTGTTTCATTTTAAATATAACAGCTAGGTACGACTCAGACAATTTGTTTCCTTTTAGATATAACAAATAGGTACGACTCAAACACTTTGTTTCCTTTTAAATATAACAGCTAGGTACGACTCAGATACTTTGTTTCATTTTAGATACGGCAGCTAAGTATCACTGAACTACTGGTTTAATATGATACGAACAACATTACATTTCTTTCTTTTAATCTTGGATCTTTCTTCAGGCTTATAACTGGAACAAAACCAATAACTGGCATGGTAAATATCCAGGCATGTTTCGAAAGTGGATTTTTTATTTAAGCAACATGTTTTTCCCTTCTCCAAATTATGTTTCTGTATCTAATGTGTTTCGTTTAAATCTTTTAAATTTGAGCCTCGTTTCATTCATAAGTTATATTAGGAAACATATCAGGAAACATTTCCATGATCAAGAATAAGTATTATTGTAAAATTACGAAAATTGAGATTGATGATAAGATTTGTGAAACGAAAATTGAGATTGATGATAACATTTATGAAACGAAAATTGAGATTGATGATAACATTTGTGAAACGAAAATGGAGATTGATTATAACATTTGTGAAACTAAAATTGAGATTGATGATAACATTTGTGAAACTAAAATTGAGGTTGGTGATAACATTTGTGAAACTAAAATTGAGATTGATGATAACATTTGTGAAACGAAAATTGAGATTGATTATAACATTTGTGAAACTTTTCACAAATGTTATCATCAATCTCAATTTTCGAAAATTGAGATTGATGATAACATTTGTGACTTTTATGAATAATTTTTCCAATTTATGGTTAAAAAAGAAATAGTTAAAGTCTTCAACAATTCTTTGTTTCGTCTCATGTTTCTTAATTAGAAACGATACTCGTGCCCTTTTCCCTGAATTCTGCGGTATGGTGGCAGAAGAAACAATACTTTAGAAACACCATTGGTATAAGTTTCTGTTACAGTGTTTTGTTTTTTTTCAGAAATTTCAGACCATTGCATTTATTATGGTTTGAACAACACTTTAGTTTTAGTTTCTCATATAGTAATATATATATATATATATATATATGTATATCTCATTTTTCAGGAGCAAGAGACTAATATAGTTTTCAAGAAACTCTCTTCCGTTGAAGATGAAGAGAGTGAAACGGATGAGTTGGAAGAGGCACCGCCAGCTGCAGCTCTCCATAGGAGGCGCGCTCTTGTTCCTCCAAAGGTTATCACTTTCATATATAACATTCACATATATTTACGTATATTTTACAAGAATAAATCGGATTTGAACGTACTTTTCAAGGCACAGCAGTATGTATTGAATCACAAGGTGTAGCAATGTGTACTGAATCACATGGTATAACACTATATACTGAATCACGTGGTATAACACCATGTACTGAATCACAAGGTATAGTAGTATATACTTAATCTCAAGGTATAACAGTATATACTGAATCACAAGATACAGTAATGTATACTCAATCACAAGGTATAGTAGTGTATACTGAATCACAAGGTACAGCAATGTATACTGAATCACATCGTATAACTGTATATACTGAATCACAAGGTATATCAAGGTTTATAAATAATGGTTAAAATGTCCTTTATTTTCTATGAAAGACATTACCCTGGTTTACTCTACGTTTTATACATAATTATGTGTTGTGTTAACATAATATAATGTTTGGGGTGAAAAAGGGACCTATTGGTCCATCTCGGATGTCATCTTCTAAGCTAAACTAAAGATATTGAATAATAAATTCTAAGTCATTTAAAGCCAGCCCTTATCATTCATATAGTTATCAAGCTTTCTCTTATATCACGTAAATTTTCTGTCTCCACAACATCCCAAAGCAACACATTCCAACACTTAGCTGAAGATGACTCCTACATTATCAAAATTTATACTTGTGTCCCCTAGTCCTAATATTCTCGCTGTTAATTATGAAAAAAGATGATGCACCAACACTATCAATTCCCTTTACAATCTTAAACACATCAATCAGATCCCTTCGAACTCTTCTGTTTTCATAAGAAAACAACTTCAGGGATCTTAACCTCTTTTTGCATGACAACCCTTCCATCCCAAGCACCATTTTAGTAACCATCCTCTGAACCCTTTCCAACAATTCAATGTCTTTCTTGGAATAAGGAGCTCAAGACTGAACACAATACTCCAAATGTTGCCAGACCAATGACCAATACAATGAAAGTATAACTTCTTTAGACTAGTATTCATTATTTCTATAGATAAAACCTAGAATCCTTTTTGTCCTGCACCTAACAATAACACACTGCTTGGATGGTTTAAGAGACTAACCATCCATTACACCAAGAACCCTTTCCTTCATGATACTGTTAGGATTATTCCCATCCAAATTATACTCATAATTCAAATTATGATAAATGGCATACATTACCTTGCATTTATTATAAATAAAACCCACCTGCCATTTATTTGCCCAATTCACTTAATCCTTTTGTAATGCAGCACTCTATCCACAGCTAGCAATACCCAAGATCTTAATATCATCAGTAGTTTTAGGTAACTTATTGACCATTCCTTCATCTATGTCATTGATGTAAATCAAAAAGAGCAAAGATCCTGAGACTGAGCCCTGAGGTACCCCACTTGTGAGATTAATCCAGTTTTACTGAACTACATTTACAATAATACTCTGCTTTCTTCCAGCCACTCTTCTGTCCAATTAGCTAACTTACCCTCCACACCTATAGAGATATTTTCACAACCCTTTTATGTGGCACCTTGTCAAATGCTTACTGAAAGACCAGTTACACCAAATTTTCACCCTTCCCCTCATCTACCTAAGCAGTAACATTTTCAAAGAACGTCAAAAGACTTGTAAGGCAAGATTTTCTCTTAGTGAAACCAAGTACAATCCTAAACGTTGTTAAATGACTTTGTAAAGCATCTTTTATCAGACTTTTCCAAACTTTTCCTTCAACTGATGTAAGACTAACAGACCTATAACTACCAGGACAATTTTTATTACCTCCCTTGAAAAGAGGAATGACATTAGCTAATTTCCAATCCTCTGGCACCTGCCCACTATTCAAGGACTTACAAAAAATAGTAGCAAGTAGCTCACATATCTAATCCTTAACCTTCTTTAAAACCCTTGGAGAAATATTATCTGGCCCAGGAGTCTTATCGTTCTTTAAACTTCCCAATTGTTCTTTAACAAGCTCAGAATTAATGCAGTCATTTTGTTCGATCTTGTTTCCAGCTATCAACTGTTGAAAATGAGGAATACTGCTTAAATGCTCATTAGTAAAAACCGAAGAAAAAGAAGAATTTAATAACCCAGCCATCTCATAATCATCAGATACAAGCCTTCTCTTATCATCCCTCAAGGGTTCTACTCCATCCTAACGTTTTGTTTACCCTTATGGTGTTTAAATAAATCCTTATTGTTAATTTTTACATTTTCAATCAACCTTTTTGATGTTCTAATTTCCTGTATGACCAGCTTTATTCGTCTTCTGTAATCTTTTAAATCTCTTGTCATTACAGTCAATTTAAATTTGTGATGCTTTTCTTTAATTTTATCTCTTATACCGCCCCCCAATGGCACAGCGGCATGTCTTCGGACTTTCAACACTAGAAACCGGGTTTCGATACCCGTGGTGGGCAAAGCACAGATATCCAATTATGTAGCTTTGTGCTTAATTCCAAACAAACAAACAATCTCTTATATCCTTTAATATTTAAGAACATGATAGTATTTCTGTCCGAAAAGTGTCCTGAAGTTTAAATAAAAGTTTTTCAGTTTCCATGGTAAATATAAAATTAAAATTTAATAAGTCGAGCATTATGGATGGCAACAAATGAAATGAGAGAGTACAAAAAATCAACAATTTTCTTTGTAATTAAAATCATTTTGCAAACGCAGACAAACATTCCTAACTTCTCCAACTCTTGTAAAAATCTTTGCTGTAAGAGTGTTCTGAGGAAACAAACAGTTATTCTTAATATGTATTATACAAAACGCTTTAAAACCATTTGTTCTCTTTCAACGTGTATGTACTTTCCCACAAGCTTGAAATCTATTGCAAGCAAATTTTGTAGAAACATAGGATTGTATGTTACAGTCAGTTTAATGCCAGGGATGACATAAATCGTAGGTTCATGAGATGAGCGTTTCTCATAAGATCTCAGAAGTTGTACAAGCCCAAAATATGAAAGTCGCATCAAGATCTCACAAGCTGTACAATCCCAAAATATGAGAGTCGCATCAAGATCTCACAAGTTGTACAAGCCCAAAATATGAGAGTCACATCAAGATCTCACAAGTTGTACAAGCCCAATATATGAAAGCCGCATCAAGATCTCACAAGTTGTACAAACCCAAAATATGAGAGCCACAACTAGATCTTAGAAGTTGTACAAGCCCAAAATATGAGAGCCACATCAAGATCTCAGAAGTTTTATTAGTACAGTACTTTCGGAATCCCGTCACGAGATAGGATCAAACATCAATACATTTTAAGCCACCGATTTCTCATAAGTCGAGATTAGCCGGATACACGTGCATAGAACATGATTTACACAAATGTTCACGTAAAATAATTGAGAACTTCAGAATTTTCACCCAAAGCTAAACAAACATAAATGTTCCCAATGTTGAGGCCATAAACTAAATAGAGGGCAGCTAATCAACAGCACCCACCGCCAACTGTTGGGCTATTCTTGTGGGATTTAATCATCACTTTTGTAGCGCACCCACAGCTTCAAAGTGCAGAGCTCATTTCTACGGCAATGGGGAACGATCCCCCTCAGATTCTAGCAATCATAGTACCACATGTTGAGTCACTGAATATGTATTTTCTTCTTTTGAAACAAGATACTTAGGATAAACATGTATATATGTAGATGTATATTATAAAAATACTTTTTTTATAAAGGAAACCATGTGATTATGGAGCTAACTGGAAATACTTTTTTTATAAAGGAAACCATGTACTATGGAGCTAACTGGAAATACTTTTTTATAAAGGAAACCATGTACTATGGAGCTAAACGGAAATACTTTTTTATAAAGGAAACCATGTACTATGGAGCTAAATGGAAATACTTATTTATAAAGGAAACCATGTACTATGGAGCTCAATGGAAATGCGTTTTTAATAAAAGAAACGATGTGGTATGGTGCTGAACGAAAATACTTCTTTTTTTTTAAATGAAGGAAACCATGTGATATGGTGCTAAAATGAAGCCAGTTGTCAAATTCCACATATTTATTTAGATACACGGTTGTAGTATTATACTACATAAACAACAGTGTTATCTGACAGGTATAATAAGGTTATTTTTTACAAGTCATGCTAATTATCGTCAAGCCTAACATACGTGTACACACAGCCGCATGCGCACTCATAAGACAGTTTCCGAGAAGAATACTGTTGGAACTTAAGCTGTCCATTAAGCACATCTCAGCTATGGCGTTCGGTGATAGATTAATATTCGAGCTTCAATGTTACTTAGCCGTCTAATTGAGGTTTAAGAGCTCAATATTACAGTAAGTTAAGTAAATCGAGGTTTCAAGGACCAGCAGTTGCTCGTGCACTATGCTTTAAAACATTCCATTTTCAATTAGCAGTGGTATCCAGGCGCTACTTGGGTAATTAACAACAACCGCTGTATAGATAAGGAAGATTTAGCTGTGTTATTATTTAAATTATACGGGGAAAGCTTGTGATAAATAAGGATAGATCTCAACGGCTTAACACTAGACATTAACATAAGTTCCTTGCCTAGCAAAAAAAAATCATATTTTAATACTATATTACACCACCCGCGAAGTTACAACGCTAGAAACCGGGTTTCGATACCCGGGGTGGGTAGAGCACAAATAGACCATTGTGTAGCTTTGTGCTTAACTTTAAACAAAAAAAAAGTTATAATGTATTTCGTATCCCAGCGCCCCCAGTGGCAAAGCGGTATGTCTGTGAACTTACAACGCTAGAAACCGGGGTCTCAATACTCGTGTTGGGCAGAGCACATATAGCCCATTGTTTAGCTTTGTGCTTAACTTTAAACAAAAAAAAAGTTATAATGTATTTCGTATCCCAGCGCCCCCAGTGGCAAAGCGGTGTGTCTGCGGACTTACAACGCTAGAAACCGGGGTCTCGATATTCGTGTTGGGCAGAGCACATATAGCCCATTGTATAGCTTTGTGCTTAGCTACAAACAAACAAAAATAGAATACGTGTAATATATAGAAAACTTAGTTCGGCTTGTGAACCTAACTAGATCATTCTTGAAACAATGGGCGAGTTGGACAAAATACACTTTGTACCCTTACCTTATTTTGTAGGAGAGTGAGTGTTTTTCTTTTCTTTTAACTCATTTTAAATAATTTTTACAACGATAATAAACACTACATTTTTACATTACTCTTTCTTTAACACTTTTGTTGTGTTGGAAATCTGTTTGTTGCAAATTTTCACAACAGGCGAGTTATAATTATGTGTTTTCTTAAGTGTAACAGCATCCATCATCTTTGGCATTGAGTAAACGAGGTAGAACATATTAATTGAACGATAGCATAAGTTAAAGAAATAAAATGATGATTATTGAATAAACAAAAAGACACCAATTACCTCAGAAACACTGAAAATGGCTCATTTTGTTTAATAAATATATTATTTACTTATCCAATTGCTGAACTAAAGGTTTAGGTAGAATCTGTGACAACAAAATCGTGTGGCAAAATACTTCTAAAGACATAACTTGTGTTTTGAAATCTTTGTGCCAATCAGGGTTGTTATTTTAACTTCAGGTTTCAGAATGTCTGATTTATACGTAATTGGACATTATTTAAGCTTGAGACCCAAAATCAAGATTAAGGGCTTCATAGAATAAAATAACAAAGGGTATCATGGGAGACAGAAGTGGAGACAAATTTCTGAACATCTATTATTAATGGAAACTAAGCATAATTCTCTAGAACGAGAGGCCGAGACATAAAAGATTATAGAATTTTCTATTTTTCTTTTTACAGATGATCACTGATGGATATGAAAGTGCTGGCGAAGATGGATATCATCAGGAATCTTCACAAGGTCAAGCTACAACGTAAATTGATTTTTTTTGTTTTGTTTAATGATCTCTTTTTTTTTTTACTAGACTTAAGTTATATTTTATTGAATGGTTGCCCTCCCAGTGGCACAGTGGTATGTCTGCGGACTTACGATGCTGGAAACCGGGTTTCGATACTCGTGGTGGGCAGTGCACAGATAGCCCAATGTGTAGCTATGTGCATAACTTGAACAAACAATCAAAATTAAATGTTTTGAACGTCAAACAGATGTTCCACTCTATTACTATTCAAGAGGTCAAAGTATTTATATCAAAACATAATATTTATTTGGATCTGTCAACAAATGCTAACATGAAAATAGTTTTATTTCATTTATATCGACATCTATATTTTGTTATTTAAATATCTATATCATTACCTGAATTTATAGATTCGTGTTAAAATGTTACCAATACTAATATGTGTCAAAAAATGTTGTCATTTGATAGCAATTTTCAAATCATTCCATAACATAATATAGTTCGAGTAAATTTTGGATGCTGGAAATTTTCTATTTGGCTATTGTAACCTATGTAGGTAATCGTTAAGATGAACCCTTAATTATGTAAGACGCTCATGAACTGAGCTTATGCTTCAGATACCAAAAATTTGCTTACCAAATTTTGAATATAATACAGTGAAAGTTGAAAAAAAAATTATTTTACATTTGTAGTATTTTTTAGACTAATAAAGTTCAGTGACACTTTACTGAAACAAGTGATTGAATTATGTGTAACCAATAATAAATAGGTCTATATCATTTTTCGCCTATTTGTTATTTTAGGTTTTATAAACACTGTTTTGTAATCAGCTATTGTTTTGGTTTATGTTATTACATAATGTTCTGCTATCTCACGGACGCAGGTCGGATGACAGCAGTGTCGGTAGAAATCGTAGACGAAGCTCTATTGTTGTTATTCCACCCATGCAGATCTGTCCGGGTGATCTACTCGTCTACAGTAAAGTGTTGACCCACAGGAACGACTTTCTTGGTGAGAAAATGAAACATTTAAGTAACGTATTTGATATCGATGTATAAATAGCAAAATCAGCTGAAATATTGAGAAGCCCACATTTTGTCAACAGGAGAAGCAATGGATTCACATTATGAGAAAACAATTGTTTTTGTAAAGTAAGAGCAGTACTCGTATTGAACTTCTATGGTGTTAAAGTAAGGTAACATTGTAAGCCAATAAAAAATTATGTGTAAAAGTAAGGTAACATTGAATACCAATAAAAAATATGTGTAACATTAAGGTAACATTGAAAACCAATAAAAAAATATGTGTAAAAGTAAGGTAACATTGAATACCAATAAAAAAAATATGTGTAAAAGTAAGGTAACATTGTAAGCCAATAAAAAATTGTGTAAAATTAAGATAACGTTGAATACCAATAAAAAAAATATGTGTAAAAGTAAGGTAACATTGAAAACCAATAAAAAAATATGTGTAAAAGTAAGGTAACATTGTAAGCCAATAAAAAATTATGTGTAAAATTAAGATAACATTGAATACCAATAAAAAAGTATGTGTAAAAGTAAGGTAACATTGTAAGCCAATAAAAAATTATGTGTAAAATTAAGATAACATTGAATACCAATAACAAAAATATGTGTAAAAGTAAGGTAACATTGTAAGCCAATAAAAAATTATGTGTAAAATTAAGATAACATTGAATACCAATAACAAAAATATGTGTAAAAGTAAGGTAACATTGTAAGCCAATAAAAAATTATGTGTAAAATTAAGGTAACATTGAATACCAATAAAAAAAAATATGTGTAAAATTAAGGTAACATTGAAAACCAATAAAAAAGTATGTGTAAAATTAAGATAACATTGAATACCAATAACAAAAATATGTGTAAAAGTA